TGTTTAGTTTACATTAATTTGCTCACCATGCATCAGTAGGCCTCAACATACACAAGTGAAAAGCAACATACTCAAATACAACACAGAGAACACCAGCTCAATCACACTTGATGAAGAAGCTCTGGATGAGGTACAATCTTCCACGTACCTATCGGGGCAGCATTATCGATGGACAAGGAGGATCTAATGCAGACGTAAAACCAAGGATTGGCAAAGCAAGAATAGCATTCCTACGGTTGAAGAACATATGGAACTCAAAACAATCAACATCAAAGTCAGAATCTTCAATACGGACGTCAAGACAGTTTTAATGTACGGAGCCGAAACTTGGAAAACTATCACAACCATCATCAAAAATGTATAAGTATTTATAAACAATTGTCTACACAATATACTCAATGTCCGTTAGTCGGATACCATCAGCAACATTCTACTGTGGGAGAGAACAAATCAGCTTCCATATGAAGAGGAAATTAGGAAAACAAAATGAAGGTGTATATGACATACATTGAGTAAACCATCAAACTGCATCACGAGTCAAGCGCTAACTTGAAATCCTGAAGGGAAATGGAAAAGCGGAAGACCAAATAACACATTGCGCCAGGAACTGGAAGCAGAAATGAAAAGGACAAACAGTAACTGGGAAGAATTGTCCAGAACGGAGTTCTATGGAAAATGCTGGTGGGTGGCCTAGGCTCATCCATGAGGGGTGACAGGCGTAAGGAAGTATTATGTAAGACAGCAAGAAAACCATATCAAGCTTGTGAAATATTTCATTATATTTATGTACATATATTATACGGTTGTCAGATGATTACAATAGACTTTAGTTTCGTCTTCAATAAAATCTATATCAAGAAATTGTGTTTATCAAAGAATATAATGAAATTAAAACTATATGACCTTTTAAAAGGAATATAACCAATCACAACCTTCACAAATATGAACTAATGAAGAAATAGTTTTTCGATAGTTCTTCATAAATTTGATTATATCCCAGTAGATGTTAAATATTGTTTTAAAAATGAATTAAAGTGTAAATAATCATTAACAAATTTTGTCTATCAAGCAATTATTGACAGTCTATTCAAAACATACTCCTCTAAGAAGCTGTTCGAAGTTCAAGAAGTACATATTAATATTTTACATTGATGAAGGGCAAATCATTGATAGCACCTAAAGATCGTTAAGAAATATTTTACTGATGAGTAAGGCAAGCAAAGAAGAAAAGAAAAAACTAACCAAATGATCACTCATGATTAACTGCCTCCTGTTATCTTTGCGACCATCCATTATATTCAAAAGTCTATTTATTGTTTCAATAGAATAATAGGTCTTCGAAAATCCAAAAATAAGTTTGACATTTAAAAATAATGAATACGGGTGTCGCTATTCGCAATAACGATTACGAATTAATATTTACCCTCAAACTTTGATGGTGTTTGCAAAAGATTTCACAAGGGAGGATGAGAATACTGAAATATGCATCTCAAAGTGAAGCTATATATATGTCTTATTAATTTTGGTATAGAAGTAAACCAAAAGGAAGAAAGAGAGAACAAACAACACCACAAATTACCTAAGGTCACATGAAAGGAACAGTATATACAAAACACATTTCAAACCTCTCAACAAATTAATCAGTCAGAATAAAAACATACACCTTCATATTTATTTTCTGGTTTCAATCCAGAAAACAAATAAATCCCTAGCTGCTATGGTAACTGGTCACTTACAACCAATATATATATTTTAAAATTGATGACAATGGATGGTAATTAGTATCATTCAAAATCTTACAGATTCTTTAAAAACTTACCATACTTCAAAACAAGTTTTACAGAAAGTTAACATCATATACATGACAGTTGCAAGTGTTGTAATTAAATGGTTTAGAAACAAACCTCAAATGACGAATAACTTCGTTTGCTTGAGGCTGAAAAGTAGCAAATTGTAGAATAAATTAAATCTGAATTGAAATATTTGAATGCATTGATGACCGTGTAAGGAAGCTAAATGGGATGTATTTGAAAATGATAGTTAATAAAACGCAACCTGTCGAGTGAATGGTATAATGCTCCATAGAAAAATTTTATGAGGGACTGTGAATGCACAAATTTTAGTACCTTTAAAATATGAAGGAATAACGGTGAAAATACACTTTTATGACTAACCAATCAGTTTTGATAGAGTTCATAAGATTTTTGAACGAAAACTGGAACGTAAAGATCGGTAGCCTGCATCTTATTGAAAGCTAATTAAGAAACAAGTAAAAATTACCAGTATATAGTTACTAAAAAGTTTAAAGTTGTCAAGTACCAGGAGACTAAATAATAGGAGTCACATTTTCCGGAGTCCTGAAGATAATCTAAGGGTTCTTAACATTTAAAGTCAAAAAGTAAAGAGCATATTTATTCGACTCCGCCTGAAGTCCCTCCGGGGGCTACTGGCGGTCCTAAGCCCGGATAAAGGAGGAGGGTTGGGCATGGGGTTAGCGTCCCCATCCCGTAGAAAACTAACTCGCTAAAAAAACGCTAACCAGAAAAAATTATTCAAACCTTTTAAACTCTGCCCTGGGAGTCAGAAGGTCTTCATGACGCCTCATGATGAAAGCCGAATTCCTTCGGAAGTTACGAGGCCGATGCCCCTTCTGACAACCAGAGCAACCATTTATTTAGGTACATGGAATGTTCGTACAATGTGGGACACCGGGAGAGCCTTCCAAATTGCTGCAGAAATGAGAAGATACAACCTAGAGGTACTTGGGATCAGTGAAACACATTGGACAACAATGACTAACTACAGGAGAGCTCCTGTTATACTCCGGCCATGAAGATGAAAATGCACCACATACACAAGGAGTTGCATTGATGCTGTCCAAACAAGCGCAAAATGCACTTATAGGATGGGAATCTCATGGACCAAGGATCATCAAAGCCTCGTTCAAAACAAAGAAAGAGGGTATTTCAATGAACATCATCCAATGCTATGCGCCTACCAACGACTACAATGAAGACGCTAAAGATCAATTCTACAATAGGCTGCAGTCAATCGTCGAGAAGTGCCCAAAAAAGGACCTGACTATTCTGATGGGAGATTTCAACGCCAAGGTTGGAACGGACAACACTGGATATGAAGACATCATGGGACGACACGGACTGGGAGAAAGGAACGAAAATGGTGAGAGATTTGCAAATCTATGTGCCTTCAATAAACTGGTCATAGGCGGCACCATATTCCCACATAAACGCATACACAAAACCACATGGACTTCACCGGATCACACCACGCAAAACCAAATCGACCATATTTGCATCAACAAAACGTTCAGGAGGACTATAGAGGACGTGAGAACCAAGAGAGGAGCTGATATAGCATCAGATCATCACTTGCTGGTCGCCAAGATGAAATTGAAACTCAAGAAGCACTGGACAACGGGGCGGACAATATCACAAAAGTTCAATACGGCCTTTCTTCAGGATACTAACAAACTCAACAAATTCAAGATAGTCCTCAGCAACAAGTTCCAGGCCTTTCATGATCTACTCAATGGAGAAGGAACTACTGTGGAGAGCAACTGGAAGGGGATCAAAGAGGCAATCACTTCAACATGTCATGAGGTCCTGGGTCACAAGAAGCACCATCACAAGGAATGGATCACTGTTGATACACTGGATAAGATTCAAGAAAGGAGGAACAAGAAGGCAGCAATCAATACCAGTCGAACAAGAGCAGAAAAAGCCAAGGCACAAGCTGAATATACAGAAGTAAACAAACAAGTGAAGAGGAGCATCAGAACCGACAAACGTAAATATGTGGAAGATTTAGCAACGACGGCGGAAAAGGCTGCAAGAGAAGGAAACATGAAGGAACTGTATGACACGACAAAGAAACTCTCTGGAAATCGCCGCAAACCAGAACGACCAGTGAAAAGCAAGGAAGGCAAGGTAATCACCAACATTGAAGAGCAACAAAACAGGTGGGTAGAACACTTCAAAGAACTCTTGAATCGACCAGCTCCACTGAACCCACCCAACATCGAAGCAGCACCCACGGACCTCCCAATCAATGTTGGCCCACCAACAATTGAAGAAATCAGCATGGCCATCAGACAAATCAAGAGTGGCAAAGCAGCAGGACCAGACAACATTCCAGCAGAGGCACTAAAAGCAGACGTAACTCTACAAAGTTTCAATTGTATACAACTGTTCTCTGGGGGATATCGATTCGTGATAAAAACTGCCTACCCGAGTTAGGATAAATTCTTGGAATATCACTGAATTATAATGTTGCTCTTTTTTGGTGTGTGTATCCTTGGCAATGATCGCAAAAAGCCAGATTTTTAAAATCTTATTAATAGCATGATTTTGATTTATTTACTGGACTGTAATAGGATGAAGGATACTTCCGATTACAAATTGGATACTATAAGTATTGAAAGCTAAAATTCACGATTACTAATTGAATAGCCAACATACCATTACATTGTACAGGATTTTAATAAAAGTAATTAGAAATTTAATTGACGATGAGAAGCAGAGGACAAATATGTCAACACCTAATTGTGCCTTTTTATCAAGCAGAGTCAAATGTCATTCGGTGTTTAACTTAGGTTTTGAAGTAAATTAATATAGACGAGGGTTATACTAATAGTAGACTAACAGTACATGTATTAGATCTCCACTCATCTAGTTATAATGAGTTTTGAAGCGCACATAGTCGCAAGCGCCTGATCATCAACTAGAATTAGTCTTTAACTGGGTTATTGTTGATAATGGTTTACAAACAGACTATTATACACTTGCCGGCTAATGGTCACATTCGTGTTAAGTTTTACATAGTGATAACCGTAAACACTAAAAGCCATTAATGTCGTCTAGTAAAATAGAGGCGCAAGTATTGACCACCTTTATGGTAGATAGTTAACTTTTGGAAAATCGATTATTTTTTGTCTCATGCTATCGAATTAATAGTTATTTGGAGTCGTGAATAAGACACTAGCAATTTGAGCACAATGTAATTTCTCATAAATACATATGTACGTATCTATGTTAGTTAGTTTCAAGATGAAAAAAAGTGGAACACATGTTTAAAATAAATATGAACGTTTTTGGCTGAATATTTATTTCCTTTGAAAGAAGTAATTAGAAATAGTCGTACAAATTTCCGAAGAATTTCCCAAAGTGAATAATAACTATTCATTCAACATATAAATGTTAACAGCAAACGCTTTAACTAAATATAATAATGAATCATCTTCACTTATATTATTACTACATTAACAGTGGAAGCACAGAAAGGCAGAAGGTATAGACTGCAATGTGAAATAAAAACAATGATGAACCAGTTGTGTACAGGACAAAGAATCAAGAGCATTGACACACGAATACATATACATAAGTACATGCATGTATACACACACGCCCACAGATCCTATTAGGTAACTGTTAAGCAGCAGCCAATTGTGTTGTAGATTGATCTGATGTTTGACTATTCCCTTCAGTTCCAATTAAAGCGGATGCATCATGAACACCACGTGCAATTTCACTTAAAGCAATCCAGGTTCCTTCTAAATTTTCCTTCCAAAGTGTAACCTAAATGATGATGATTGGAGAAGACAGAAAGAACACAATAATCATTTACTCATGCATTAACAAAAAAAACTCAACCATTATAAAAATATAAACGGAAATGAATTAATTCATTGGAAAAATAAATAAGTTTATTCAATAGGGTGAAAAAGAAATAAAAGGATACAAATGATAATCTTCGTCTTCTTATTACATTATCGGAACTTGGTTTTGAAATATGTATACAAAATTTCATTATGATTTATTATAATAATCAAGCGAAACCATGTACTATTAAATAAATGGTATTGAGAATTAAACATTTAACATGGAATTTTCACATTATAATTAACATTTAAATAGTTTTGATGTTTGACTAGAGGTGATAACTGACCTTAATCTTAGAAAAATACAAGCTGATAGACAAAATTGATTGTACTTTAAACACAATGATGATAAGGATAATGATTAGAACTGTGAACAAGATAATGACAACTTTAGGAATAGGTAATAAATAATGCTTATATAAAGAATATGGCATTTTTATATTATCATGGGAAGAATTCACAGAATCAGCAAACACAGACAAACGATATAATTATAAGCTGAAACAGATTCAGATATGAATGCAAAGAGATATCTATAAATGTTTGTAATGACTACACTAACCAAAAGATGTAAGTTATCAATACCATAATGTTGACATCTAGAAACTAAGAAAAGAACAATGTAGATGCAATGTGATTCAGGGAGTAGTACACTGTCTATTATCATCAAAGGAACTAATCATAATAATCTATGTATTTGGAAAGAGAAGAAAACAACATTTCAATCTAATTCTCTGACCAGTGTAATTCAATACATTTTTTGATTTCATTTGTAATGCTCTGGATTGTCCTGCTATTGATATTTCGACTGATATGTGATCAGTTTCAGATGATATACGTGAATCTTGTGTGGAATGTCTAGTTACAGCCATTATGATATAGGTTTAGATTAAATATGGCTAGAAGTGGCGAAGTGGACAATGCTCTGGAGCTTGAAACGGAAAGTACTGGGTTTGAATACCCTGATAAACATCTAGGCTGGGATACAGGTATATTCAGCTGATGAATTTCAAGTAAGACGAGACGCGCGTCTTGGATTCCACTACTAGTTACATTTCATCTTTTCTATATAAGAAATTTTCATTATTTGATCATAACATCATTACATGGTTAACTATTCACCGGTTTCTTTTCGGTTGCCTTATTCACACTGAAAACTTTTTTATTAGGGTTTTACCATCTGGTTTTTATTTCATTTCGTTTTTCTTCTAACCGATTCCATACTTTTTTTGAGTATAGATAGTGGTAATGCAGTACTGTAAAATATAGGTGTGTTAAACGTAAAGTGGATGGTGCGAATGATTTTCTCTCTTCTATTCCAAACAATAATTGTAGCTTTTATTTTCGTTTTATCGAATAGTTTTTTTTCTAATAGCGTAACAATAGGCTTTAATCATAGAACAATATTATGCAATTCTATTGCAATCTAGACAATTAAATGTTGAAAGAGTCTAGAGACTGAAAGTAGTTGATTGTTGAGAATTACACAACAATAAAATAACAAATGAATTCATATTATTCTCAGTTAAAATTACTTTACATACGATGTTTAAATTAATCAAAAATATAATATTGAGTGGAATTCCTTTATTTGATTAGATTGCTTGGAAAAACCACATACGGTAAGGTGTGAGTTTAACAATTCACATCAGTAGTTTGTCGAGTTGAATGAAATCAAAAACACAAGTTCCAAATAATTACATATATCTGAATCAACACTCCTTATTAAATGGACTCACTGAATACAATTCATGTTTCAGTAACAGATAGCATTATCTCCTTTCAGTTTTAATCGAAATAGATGGCTGCAGTCAGTCGTCAAACATACGAAAACTGATACATTATGTGGATCGATTCACGTTACCATACTAAATTAACATAGTGAGTAGTACAAGTAGTAACATTACCAGTAGTAGTAATAGTAGTATTACAGAAAGAACATGAACAAAGTGATTGGAGATTAATCCTTTTACAAAGAATATAAGTATACAACTCTTTATGTCTACGAAACGCTGTTGAATATGACAAAAAACTTTTCTCAACCTTAAGAATATACAAAAGTATTCATTTAGTATGACAATTTTGACTTTTTTGGTCAGGCTACATTGTTTCAATTATCTATGTTTGTATTTAAATAAGCTAGAAAATATTTATTGACATGGAAACATAGCGGTAATGTTACAGTTGCATAATTAATTACAATTATTGAAATACAACAATGTACTACTGCTATACCTACAAATATATAGGCATGTAACTGTTCATCATCACACATACAATTTTTCTATTAGGGTCACACTCAGGTCAAAAGTAATAACTATGTGCCTGTAATACAAATGTAAAACTATTCGTAATAGAACAATAACATGATAAAGTATAAAGAATAATATGATTCATCTTCGTATAATCACCAAATCATTCATTCATCTTTACATTGAAAAAAAGAACAAGGTGAAATGAAAGGAATAAAATTAAAAATGTTGATGTTTCAGTTCATAGAATTTATGTTATATTTGACCCGATAAGACAGTTGTTATAACCTTGGTTTAAACTTGCAAAATAAAGGTCAAGGTCATATACATATACTAACCAAGTCGATTTGAAACAAATGAATAATATAAAAAATATTCTGTGAAGATGATATCATCCGAAGATGAAATAGCAATGAATTAGGTTGGCTTTTTTTTTCTTGAAAGTAAAAAAATTTTCTAAATTGAGGTGAATACATAATTACGAAATGTAAATAAGCACAGAGAAAGGCGAATGATTCTTTATCTCTCACACCCACATACATGCATAACACACAAAGACAAATAACAATACATAATGGCTAACTTTTGAGGTATATTGACTGGTACTTGAATAGGAGTAACATCAATTGTGAAAATAAGTGGGGTTATTGTAAACATTAACACTCAAAAGGAGGAGAACAACGGGTTTGAATGTAGAGACTTAAAATACACCCTTCAATACTTGAGAGAGAAAAATAATTAAATTTCGGTGACTTTTTTTACACCTTTAATTAATATGTAGATTAAATTGCATGTTGTTATGTTTGATACCATGACTTTAGATTAATCGAAAAAGCAAAATATAAAACTTCAGAGTATTAACAATATGTTTATTTTCTTCAATTTTATGTACTACGTTAAGTTGACTTAGCATCAACTCAAGAAGTTATTGATAGTCGAACTAATTCTTATAGATGTAGGGACAGATTACCTGGTTGGGTTCCGTACGATTTTGGTAATAGATCTTTAGAGATGTTAAGTGATAAGGATCAGAATTGTCTGCAATGGCGTAAATACATTCACTTATTAGCCTCACCAAGACCTGAGTTTCAAGATTATTACGTAATTTTTTTAATCCACGAAATCACTCCTTTTCAAACCAACTTTCTTTAATATTCTCTACTACCACTGATGCTGTTACTATTTCTACGACCCTGGATTTTCTCTTGACAATTTCATCTCGTAATAATGTAATATGGTAACCAATACACATATATGTCAGGTTCTATGTTGCGTGCGCCTGACTAACTAACTTGATATAGCAGAAATTAAAAATCAACAAATTAATATTATTATAATTAATCAGAGCAAGGAATACCACAGTCGGTAAGATTCCATTGACAAAGGATTTATACTAGTTAGCAATCATAAAATTACTTATCTGTTGTGGTGTATGCTACTTATGTCTGTTGACATAAGTAACTTTCTTCTACTTAACCAGTCATTAATTAAATGAGGACAGAAAATGAGGAAGTTTTCATTATATCACGTGTCGAAATTTTTTAGCAATGGCAGTTATTCCGTTCTGTCAAAGTCCAGCCTAAAATCACAAACTGACTTTATCACAAAAATATGAGCTGTTGAATAGGAACTCATAAACTAAAATCTATGCACTTAATCTAATGACACCTAATAGTCTTAATGCATTAGTGAATGATTGATCAGAAAAATGTTCTTCTCCAACAGCTTGTTATTTTAAGATAGAAATTAAAAAAAAAGTATTTGAACTCATGAAATTATTTTTGATCTCAGTTCAATTCGACGGTTTCAATCAATAATTCAGTCTTGTGAGTGGTTGATTATCATTGAGCTAAATGGTTTCATTTATTGATCAAGATTTTATTCATTCATTTTAATCGTGAATTATTTATCAGATCATAAACCATAACAATAATCAACACATTTTCTATCACTGGTTATTTGAACGAAAATTTAAAAAAATAATAAATAAATATGTCTAATTGTCAATCACATAAGAATGAATTGCAAGGATAATATAAAAAAACTTGTTCAGAAGACAGACGACTGAGTGAAGTTAAGCATATACTACTTATGGACAGAAAAATAAAAATGGTATGCTCTACAGTTCCGCATGTGACATTGACATCCAAGAATACAAACAATTCGATCTCCATAAATTGAGTGTTTACAAAAGAGGATTTTCTCTGAAAGAGCATCACAGTGTCGTATTGTGACTAAATAGCAATGTGAACATTAATCCTAGTCGCAGTATGAAATGTATAAAATGAGTTTAACAAGTAAAATTACGAAGGAAAAAGGAAAAAAACAACACACCAAAATTAAGTAATTTGTAGGATACACTAAACAGGTTTACATACAAGTCATGAACAGAACTTTTCATTTTCGATAGTCTATGACTGACTCACTGACTAGTAAAAAACATAGTGCCCTAATAATGAAGTATCTTGATTGATGGATAAAAAGTTTTCATATAGAATTCAAGCGGAGGAAACTAAGTAGTTGAAAAAAAAGTTGCCAGAAAATAAGTGTAAAATCACCAGCCGTATCATATGAAGGAATGGGTAGCTAATAGAAGTCTTCTAATTGAAATAACAGGTTATATATATATATATATATATATATATATATATATATATATATATATAGAACCTGAAGAGAATTTATCGAAAAGAATATTCTTCGTTCAAATATTAGTCTTTTAACAGAACTGTGTCGACATGATCTAGCACCATATATTTCAGTGGCCCATTCACATGTGGCTAAATATATACTAACTGTACAAAAAAGTCGTAAACACAAATTGGTTATTATAGATTTTTTAACACCCAATACAAAATGGGCACAGAACCAATGTTAACAAATGTCAATTCGCAGGTTGCAATGTAGAAGATACAAGTGTTTATTAACAGTTGTCTACGCAAAATACTTCGGATCCGTTGGCCGAACACTATTAACAACAACAAACTGTGGGAAAGAACAAACCAGATCCTAGAGGAGGAAGAAATCAGGAAGAAGCGCTGGAAGTGGATAGGACACACATTAAGGAAAGCACGCAACTGCGTCACAAGACAAGCCCCCACATGGAATCCTCAAGGCCAAATGAGAAGAGGAAGATCAAAGAACACATTACGCCGGGAAATGGAGATAGACATGAGTAAAATAAACAAGCATTGGATGGAACTAGAAAAGGCCCAGGACAGAGTGGGTTGGAGAATGCTGGTCGGCGGTCTATGCTCCATTAGGAGTAACAGGCGTAAGTAAGTAAAATAGAACCTGAGACATATTGGTTCAAGTTACCACAGTACATTAACATAACGAGATGAAATTGTCAAGGCGAATCCCAGGAATAATATTAGTACGAAAGGCAACAAAAAACATTAGGTGATAGACATTGTGATTCGAGAATTAAGAATGATTTCATGGAGTAGAAAAAAGGGAAACAAAAGTGAGTAAATGACATGAAACTAAACATTTTAAATATTATATTCATCCGAGGAACTTTATTTATTATAGACACCAATTAACTAACAATGATCATAATAACAATAAATAAATCATGATTTATTGTTGTTTTGACTTCATAAAAGAGAAGTTGGCTACAGATAAATCAATCTTGAAGTATCTGAAAAAAATCACTTTTGATTTGAGTGTACAGATTGAATTAATGAAAATAAAGGGATCATGCCAAAGTGGGAAGTGAAATAAGTCAAAACAATAATTGTATCATGAGTCAGTCAACCAATCAGCGAGTCATAATCAACATAAAGCCTGACATGTGCATTCGCCCAAGTTGTCATAATACCACTGTAAGTATGAAGAGATGATGAGCTCAACAAGGGAAATAGATAAAAGGTTCAAAAAATATAGGAGGACCAGTGTTAGCGAGAAGGATCAAACAATATACTGAATGCAGACAGAAAATAAGGGATACGATCAATAAGTCATTCATTTTAATGAAATGGAAGTGAAAATATTCAACAAACAAGTTTAAAGCAACAATGCAAAAAAGAAAGACACGATTTTTGTTAGAAACCATTGAAATCCATATCTCCTTAGTGTGATATGTGTTTACTAGTTGAAAAATCAAGAAGCCAGGAAAACAGCCGATATCACATTGTTGCATAGACTTTATCATTTTCTTCATAAATATTACAATTTAATGATCATGATAAGCAAAGTTTATGTACATTAGATGAAATGTGGCTGCCAGTGGAATGCAAGATGCACGCTTCGTCTCATGCGGGTCTATTCAGCTGGATTACCTGGTGAAAATATCAACGAGATAAGCCAAACTATGAAGAAATGAGTCAAAGTCATTCCACAAGTGAGTGGCTATCTACAAGTGGATAACACGTTGTTGTTTGAGGTAAAAGATATTGGGTTCAGTTCCGGAATGGATAAAAACGCTGGAACGCAGGTAGATTAAACTGACGAGTCCAAAATCGGACGAAACGCGCATCTTAGATTCCACTCTTAGCCACATTCCACTTCAGCATAAAACTGTCATAATCGCTATATCGAGGGAATCTCATAAGATATTAACTAAAATTGATCACATTTCGGTCAAAATAACAATAACAGTATAATTCAAACCATTAAAAATTCAATCATAATAAACATTTCTACAAAAAGAAAACTGATTCAATCTATAGTTTGAAAGTATACCTTATTATCTCCTCCAGATACCGCTAAAATATTCCCAGTTACAGACCACGAAACATTCCAAACAACATCGGAATATGTATACAAAATGGTTGGACGCCAAAATGTGGAATATTGTGTAGACTGGAAATCTTTCGATTCTACTAATTCATTAGAATTTGGGTTTTTATTATCATTATTATTATCATTTACTGCTGTCGATCGATTCATCATACGATTTTCATTATTATTATCATTATTAGCTGTCGATTGCCAAATTATTAATCTTCCATCTTGGCCACATGAAGCGATTAATTGCCGTGAAATATTCAAGCTTGGACACCAAGCAACATCACGTACCCAATCGGTATGACCATCTAGACGAGTTTCTTCGATCCATTCTGGATTTCCAGAAGAAACATCTTCACTATTAGTAAAAAAACGGAATGAAGAGCAACAATAAAATTTCACTTTAACTACGAAATGATAGAAAAAGATCCCCAAAAGTTAGAATGAATCCATACTTATTCACTTTTGTATCATATGAGAATTAATACAGTACAACCTATGATTTACAATTACAGTTTCCCAATATGAATACAAATATAACTCATGGTTTTATTAAAGAGAAATAAAAAAAATTATTCGGCGAAGAAAATTTTCTTTTCGACGATATCACAGACTCTAGCTGTGCAATCATATTTGTAGTAAATTCACACATAAAGTAGTTTATTGAAAAATCGGAGGACAATTACACTACAAAATGTGTCAAAGAAGATCGCTTAATAATAGAGAATTTGAAGAAAGATAATAAGATGAAACCAAATGCATGGAAGGTGATCGTCCATTTTACGAGTATGAGAAGGGTAAAGAATAAATTAAGAACATGAGTGTTAATAAAGAATAATTAGAATTAAAGAGATTAAAAACACTAGAAGTATGTATTAACAAAGTAATGTTTATAAAAATGTAGCTACAAACAAATGTCTTTCACGTGCCCCCCTTTGCATATAGAGTTCAAGTTTTAAAAAATGGATTGTTAACACCTCTCCAGTGTATATTTTACATTCGCCTTCCGAAAGCCATGCAGGATAATGTCCAGGGACGAGCTTGGAAAACGCTCACATTGTTCGTCCAATGTAACCTACTACACAAGAGTAAGCAAACTTATGAATACAGACTGATGTGGCCTAAAATGAGAGTTCATCTTTAACACTTATTAATTTACGTTAACTTCATCTAGAAAAATGAATAGAGTCAAATCTCATTAGATGTTGTGATTAACTTATATTGGTTTGTTGAAATGAATTAATCGGTTCATTACAGTTTAAATTTCAAAGGTTTTATAGGACTAAGGAAGCCACACTAAATAATGCACTTTAAAATCATTGGAAGGTATCATAAATTAAGTCATTTTTGTGTAATACATAGCTGATAGAGTCCGTTATGTGTAAACAAGTTATGACTTGATACAAATGTGTATCAGTTCATATTGCCAGTCATAACATAAGTAAAGCATGTGAAAATTCATAACTTGTATTAGTGAAGGAGTCAAATGAATAAACTTGTCGATGATACTAAGTAGCAAATTTTAAGGAAACAAAGAACGAATACATTTATCTCACTAGAATTTATTTAGACTATCACAAATTACTATTACCACATAGGTTAAAATAGGAAAATTTGCATCACTACTCAAACTGACAGTTAATTACTTTATGAAATCTTGATTTGACTGTCTCTAGTTTTTTTTTCTTCTAATCTACTGATACACCAATAAACATTGAATGTTTAGAGTAACCGATGTCTAGGCACCTATAACACATATCTCATTCAGTTTCTTATTCTTATTATTTTTTCGTTGGATATAAACATAAGGGACTCCTCAGCAATGCGCATCCACGACCTCGCGCACTGCTGAGGAGTCCCGCAATAGGACGAAACGGCCGTTCAGTGCTTCCAGGTTTTCCATGGTGGTCTAGCTTCAAATGACTCATGATCTAAACCATTGAAATATATCATTCATTTGAACATTATACTATACTGTATATTCCACATATAATCAAACATATATTTTATTGATGTTAACAATTGGTCAGTAGAACTTTGTGAATAATTTTTTTACAATATTTTCAATCGTGTTATATCTACATCAAAGTTTTAACTGATCATAATGAAAATAATAATAATAATTTCAAACAATCATTTACAAAATAATAACAATAACAGTGAATATTAAATATAAAATGTATTTAATTTCGATTGTAATAAATATTTATTAAATATGAAAAATAAATATTGAATACATAAACAACAGATGAAATAAATCAGTTGAATTATTATTAGGTTGTTGGGTTTTTTTCCTTTCTCTCTCTCTCTCCTTATTAACTAATTCATTTTATATATTTATTATAATTGAACAGAATAATAATAATAAATAGAAATGTATAACAAGGTTGTATTGTATTCCTGTAATTCTCTCACTATTTCTTATTTATTCATACATTTTGATTAGAAATATAGGATAAAATAGAATGAAAATATACAAGTTAGTGAACTAATAGTCATATTAAAGATGATGATGATGATATGAATACGTTCGACCTAGTGACAACACAATGTTTAAAAGTCAGTCAGAAAATTCCATTTCACTAGTAATAAAAATTATGGAAAGATTTTTTAATTTGTGTTTTAAATGTTAACCTAGACTATGCATGCAGTGTTCATTTGAACAAAATTCAAGTATTGCACACACGTAATTAGTTTCTGTCTAAAAAGACAGTGAGCTTCTGAAGAGATTTCAAAGAACGACAAGAGTAAGATACCATAGTTACGCACCATCGGATGCAAATGTAGTGGTTTTCATGAAGCCTAAAAAAATAGGCTTAACCCCAGGCGGTTTTGAGAATGCACATTCATTGGAAGTTCCATACTACGACGAAGCAATCGTTCGGTTTTTTTCTGGTTCTCAATGGCTGTCTAGTGGGAAATCTGTTCCCGATATACATTACAAAACTAATCAAACCCCATAAACTTCCCATATTAGCAGGAAGTCAGTCAGTCATGCGCAACGTAGAACTTGGCACGTGTGTATAAAGTTCCAAGCAATCATATCCCATTAGCACAAAGAGGTGAATTTATTATAGAGTATCTCAGGGTATTAGAGGGAGTAACAGCATCAGTGGCAATAAAAAAGACCGGACATCGAACATAAAATTCAAGAAAATACAAATTACTGACGAAGAAATTATGAGGAACTCAGCAGCTAAAAGGAAGGCAATAGTTTTGGTAGAAAGATCAGTATTTAAGGATTCAAAGACTAAATCGAACGTCCTTCCCATGGATTCGAAAAGCTCGTTTGGCTTTTGCCAACTTACGTCACCTTTGGCGAAGGCGAGATATCCGTCTATCAATAAAAGGACGAGTATACTGCGCGGCAGTCCGTTCTGTTTTACTTTACGGGAGCGAAACATGGCCATTAAGAGTAGAAGACACTCGTAAGCTACTAGTATTTGACCACAGATGCCTTAGAAATATTGCTGGCGTCTGCTGGGATCACCGGGTAAGTAATAGGGAGGTTAGACGCAGGGTATTAGGAAATGATGGTAAATCAGTTGATGAGGTTATGAATCTTCGACTGAGATGGTTGGGCCACGTGTTACGTATGCCTAAACATCGATTACTACGACGTGCAATGCTAACCGGTGTTCGGGATGGTTGGAAGAAAGTTAGGGGCGGCCAAACCAAAACGTGGCATCAGTGCTTGAAGACACCAACTTCTAGTCTGAGCCATGTTGGTAGATGCAAACTACTTGGTTGGGGTCCGCGTGACTTCCGTAACCAATGGTTGGAGACTGAGTGACATGGTTCAGAACTGATCACAATGGCGTCGGTGTATACACTCCCTGTCTTCCCTTAAACTAAGAGATTAAAATTGCTTCATACCTTTCTTTCTACGAACCAATTTTTTCTTCTTGTACTATATCTCTATATCCAATACTTCTCTTATATATTACCACCTTTGACATAACCACTGCTATGAATCCGGTGTTCATCTTGTTGTGCTGATGCGGTATGGCAACGTGGACCGATGCACATATGTGCCTGGCCCTACGTTGTAGCTGACTGACTGACCTTCCCACTGATTTAACATATTAGTGTTATAAGCATCATTAATAGATAATGTAGATAACGATTGAAGGCTAAATGAAGATCGTTCCAACCCAACGAGTGTTTATAGTAGATATTCGTTAGATAATAAGCCATCTATGATCACTGATGAAACTACAAAATAAGACAGTGTGTATTCTGCCTACTTGATTTCCAAAAGCATTAATTTACTATTAGTAAACAAGGAGAATGATATATTCAAATCTTACTGAAATCAAGAGCCAACATACGTTCAACAAGCATTGAAAACAAGGGGGCACTGACCAACTGTATCGCTTTAGTATGGGAGCCCTTTGAAGTGAAAAATCTACGAACCCAGAACCTTTGGCATCGCACTCGAATGCTCAACCTCTAGACCATGAAGACGGCATCGGATGTTGTACAATTTTGACCTTAAAATTCGTTCGAATGAAGTATGAGAGTGGAAATTGTTTTCAGATTATCCTTAATTGTCTCTAAATATATACAACTGATACCAATAGTGTCACATCCAGTGATTATATTACTATGGAGTACAATAGAAGAAGGTTAAGGGCGAAAAGAACAATGTATAAGAAAATTTAAACGGTCTAATCACGAACCTTTGGTTCGTACGATCCTAATTTGGTTTTTGCACAACAATTGTAATAATGATGACCAATGTTTATATAACGCTAGATATTGACCATTTCATCATACTAAATGTCTTCTCTTTACTTCTACTCGAGTCACCTGTTCTTTACGAATTTACTACAATTATCCTCGTAAAATCCATTCACAGTGTTTACACATGTGAAATGTAGCAACTAGGATGGATAAGGATTTCAAAAAGAGCTTGTACAGAGTAATAATAATCGCAAAAAGCTATAAAGATTTAAAATTAATGTACAAATAGCGCTGTAAAAATAATGATTAGCAAAAACATAAGATTTTAAAAGAAAATCTATGCAAGAAAAGAACTATTTCAATAATATCAACCAAAATACTCAAAGCATTACGTCAGTTTAGATTGTACTATTCAGCTTATGTCATATTTTCATAACCATTAATAGTCTTTAAAAAGGTTTACAATAGTTCCAATGAAAAATTTAATCATTGTAGTGTAGTCAATGTGGTGAACTTTTTTTTATCGAGCTGAACAAGTCACATAATTATCATCAACTTTATATGTATCCGTGATTATTAAAACAAAACTAACCAGATGTCTTAATTTTAGAACAAATTATTGCCTTTTACTAGAGTCAATGAACTAGAACTCGATTTCTACTGGCATGAATT